GGGCAGGGACACCTTCCCCTATCCCAGGTTGCTCCAAGCCCCGTCCAACCTGGCCTTGGACACTTCCAGGGATCCAGGGGCAGCCCCAGCTTTTCCAGGCACCATTTTCCAGGAATTTTTCCCTTCCTGCTGCCCCGGGAGGGATGGAGCCAAAAACCTCCCCCAGCTCACCCAAATAGTCGTCGAAGGAGAACTTGTCGTTGTCCCAGATCTGGAGGATCAGCTGGGGTGGGATCTTGTTTTCTGTCTTGTCCAAGCTCCAGAAATGCTCCTAAAATCCCACCAGGGGAAACAAAAGGATTGTCAGAGAAAGTGGGTAGAGGGAGTGGTTCCTGTCTTCCCATGGAAATCCTGGCACTCCTGGTGTGTCCTGCCCTGGCTCTGCAGGGCTGGAGCCACAGGACCTCTGGCTCTGGGCAGCTCTTGGATGCTCAGTGGGAAAGCCAGGATGCCTCTGGAAGGGGAGTTATCACCAGTTCATCCCTTAATTTACTGACAATATTTATCCTTTGGATACTCAGAGCTGTCAGAAACATGGAATTATGGAATTGTTCATGTTGGAAGGGACCTTAAATCCCACTCAGTCCCACCCAGGGACACCTTCCACTCTCCAAGGTTGCTCCAACCTGGCCTTGGACACTCCCAGGGATCCAGGGGCAGCCACAGCTTCACTGTCCAACCTGTGCCAGGGCCTCCCCACCCTCACAGACAGCAATTCCTTCCCAATATCCCACCTATCCCTGCCCTCTGGCACTGGGAAGCCATTCCCTGTGTCCTGTCCCTCCATCCCTTGTCCCCAGTCCCTGGGCAGCCCCTGCCAAGGCCTGACCACCCTTTCCAGGAGGAAATCCCTCCTGATACCCAAAAAGGAGCATCAGGACAGAAGGAGAGAGCCCAAAGCACTCCCAGAGCGAGGGTTTGTCATCCCTGGCCCTGCAAAGAGGAGGCAGAGTCAGGTTGGGATTCCTGACCCCCCCCTCCCAGGGGTATCCTGGTGGCAATTCCTCCTTCCACGCTCCTGCACCGGGGAAGTGCCAGAAAGGAGCAGATTTAACTAAACCCAGGAACCTCCAGCATTATCCCTGACCCCATAAATCCACAACTCGGATTCATTCCACGGGCCAAGATTAAATAAGAAAGGGGGGGAAACGTGTCCCACTCCAGGAGAACACAAATATTCCAGCTGGGAGGTTGTGGGAGCTTAAATCCCCCTGGAACTGGTTTCCCTTCCAGAGCTCCCCCTGGCTGGTTGGGTTTCACTGGAGCTCCCTTCCCTGCCTGGCTCTGGGAACACGGGCCAGGAATTTTGCACTGGAGCGTTTTATTCCCGGGCTTTAAATATTTTATAACCCAGAAACGCGAAATGAAGCCGATGGAAAGCTCCCTCTCTCCCCCTGTGCTGATGACATTCCTGTCCCTCCCTCCCTTGTCCCCAGTCCCTCTCCAGCTCTCCTGGAGCCCCTTCAGGCCCTGCCAGGGGCTCTCAGCTCTCCCTGGAGCCTTCTCTTCTCCAGGGGAACCCCCCAGCTCTCCCAGCCTGGTTCCAGAGCAGAGGGGCTCCAGAATCCTGGAATGGGTTGGGTGGGAAGGACCTTAAAGACCATTTCATTCCAACCCCTGCCCTGGGCAGGGACACCTCCCACGGGAACAAGGGGAAGCTTGGACCAAACTGCCCCTGGATCCTCAGGAGTGTCCCAGGCCAGGTTGGAGCAACCTGGGAGAGAGGAAGGTGTCCCTGCCCATGGCAGGGGTGGCACTGGATGGGATTTAAGGTC